GATGATACATGATGGTGATACATGATGGTGGTGTTAGTGATTGTGATGATGGTGGTGAAGATAAAATCATAGATACATGTTTGAGTTGCATAACACATTTTGTACCTAAGTTAAGATGTAGTGAGAAAAAACCAGTGAAATAAAAACCATGAGCAACATTTGGTGTCAGTAAAGTAAGGTCTTAGTTCAAATGTTTCATTGCAATTGATCTATTCCAAGGCAAGGTAGGTTATCATCAGGTCAAAACTGTTGTGGGTTGAATATTGGGGGGCAGTCTTTAACCCCAAGATCCAATGCAAGGGGTACAGGGCTTGCTGCATTATCGCAATAATAGTCCAGTTTCGAGTTCTTGTTTCTTGATTACAGACTCATTTACTCAGGCTTCGAATCAGTGTCTAATTACTCGCAAATACCAACAGTAAAGTAAAGAATGCACAACTTCAACAATACAAGCACTTTGAAACTTGACAGACCTTGACTGGAACAYGTGAATATTCTTCATGAAATCGAGGCTAAGCCTGAGTAAATGAGTCTGTATTCAAGAAACACAGCGGAAATCGAAAAGGGTCTATTGTCAATATTATGGACACTCGGTGGTTGCAAGCTGCATGCTGAAATTTGGTTTTGCACTGCTGTCAATCAAAAAGAATCAGTCTGTACCTTTCGGGTTCTTGACTGACGGCAGTGAAAAATCAATTTCACAGCAAGCCATTAAAATGTGAGTTCGTAGAATACTGAGAATTTCCATTTCCAAATGTAAATCCAAATGAAAGGTAATGGTTTGCAGATATAATATAATCACTCTTATAGGAAACTAAGCAATTTAGATAAATTCTCCAGTTTATGTATTTAATTAATAAAAAGCATGTTTCAATGAAAATATTTATTTTCATTTTTCATTTCTAAACATTTTTTGGACACTAAAATTATTTTTCATGCAATTTGAATTTTTTTAAATTAGTTTTTCTTACAACTGCCATATGAATTTTAAATTGTTTTTTTTCAAATAGGTTTAACTTTATAACAGACCTATACAATCAGCTTAGGTACTTTATCTTTGTTTATTTTAACACTTGAGAAAACACATTACAGAATACAAACCCCCTCCCCTTCCCCCATGAATTGTTTTCTGTAAGGGAATATTGCATGGTCCAAAATGGGAAAAGATGTTTGTGCCTAAGCTGGATGGGTCTATCAAGTTATGTGATAAGAATATTTATTTAAAAAATGCCATTTTTGCCTAATCTTGTCTCAGCTATGTTGTAATGTGTTGTGGGGTAGTGTTGTGTTGAGTGTTGTAGTGTGGTATAATGTGCTGTACCCTTTAGTGTTGTGTTGTGTTGTGGTGACGTGGTGTTGTGTAGAAAAGTAAATACGTACTGTACTCTAGTGTGGTGTGGTGTAGTATGATGTGGTATAATGTACTGTACCCTTTAGTGTTGTGTGGTATGGTGTGTTGTAGTGACGTGGTGTTGTGTAGAAACGTAAATACAAACTGTACTTTAGTGTGGTGTGGTGTAGTATGATGTGGTATAATGTACTGTACCCTTTAGTGTTGTATGGTATAGTATGTTGAGGTGATGTGGTGTTGTGTAGAAGGGTATATATGTACTGTACTCTAGTGTGGTGTTGTGTAGTATGACATGGTAAGGTTTGTTGTGGTATAGTGTGGTATATGTACTGTAAGTGTGGTGACGTGTTATGATTTACTGTTAGTAGTGGTATGGTATGATGTATTGTACTTTAGTCAGGTGTTGTATGGTGATGTGTTATGGTGTAGTGTGGAGCCATCAATGGTCAATGTTTAAATAAGTCAACATCAAATAAAGCTGTTGTATACCATAACATTCYATAACATTCCAGAAAATACCCATACCTCCTCAAAATAGGGTTGAACATGGCATGTATTCCTTCCCGCGGACACCTGTGCTAGACATTTTCATAAAATGATAAAGATGATATACTCAATCCTTCCCCTTGGAGATTTCAATCCCATCTAGTAAAGAGGTGGTATGGATCCAGAGTTTCTGGAAATTTAGTATACATAGACAGCAGATCTTTTATTACTGTATGTTGTAAAGCTCACACAGACATAAAAACTGCTCCAACAAGTGTTTTTCAGAAAAAATTCTTGAATTGATTTTAAGATTACTTGCTTTTCAAAGAAGTCATTTCTAATTCAACTGTGAAGAAATGTGCACTAGTTAAAAATGAAACTCATTTTTCCAAAATATTATTTCTAATACATTTTAACTTACAATTTATTCTCAAAAATAATGACTTTTTTGTATCGGGAAATCGAAGATTGTTACAATTCTGTTCATTTTCAATAGCAAATCTCAATCACAATGATATTTGCAATATTTGCTATTAGTAATATTAATTGGTTGGCTTACATTTCAGCCATAGGTAGCCTGCTATTTCAAGCCCTGAGTCTGAAGTATTTTTACTGTTTTGTTGAATGCTTGAAGTGGAAATAATTCGAGAGTGATACCAAATTTCTACAAATTTTCTCAGCTGTGTGTTCTCAGCCTTGTATTTGTTTGTAACACTTTTTGCATACTGGTACCCTGTTTTCGGAGTAGTGCGCTGGTAAAGAGCACTGTCTGTCAATGCATCGTCGACAGAAAACTTCGCCACAGTTCCAACAATGATACTAAAGGAAAAATACAAATTGGTATTGATTAGCTGAATTATATTAATCTAAGGTTAGCCATTCAATATTATTATCTCTTTACCTTGGATTGAATCTTTTTCTATTTCAGACCATGTGTCATTCTCTTAAGAACAAGATTCTTAGTTTGAGTTTTGTATCCTTATTCATGTGTCTTCTCAGTTGCAACAATTAAGAAAAGAAACCATACTCTAGGGAATGACCAAGGGCGGATCCAGGGGGCGCAAAGGGGAACTGAAGCCCCCCTTCAGCAGAAAAAAAAAAAAAAACTGAAGAATTAGATGCTTTTTTTATCGTTTTCCGTTGTGTTGACCGAAGAAACTCAATTAGCCCCCCAAAACTCAATTAGTCCCCCCTAAACTCAATTATCCCCCCCTAAACTCAATTAGTCCCCCCTAAACTCAATTAGCCCCCCCCTAAAATTTTGGGTGGATCTGCCCTTGATGACACATGGTCTTTGAAAGGCAACTGCATTCACTATTCAGATCATTCACTCAGTGTGGAGCATTTTAGACTGCAGCATAGAAATATAAAATGAAAGCACTCCTCATTACCTTTCTATCTAAGAAAGCAATAGGTGCAGCACAAGAAGAACACTGCGACACATCCCTGACAGACTTCCACTGAACCGCAAGAGATGGAACATCTGTTAATAAGTCTTTTAATTGCATGCCTTGACGTTTCAAAGCAGTAGTTATCTCTGGTGGTAACGCTTCAGAATTAACCTGTTTTGCCCCTTCTTTTGTCTCTTCTTCTTTTGATGGTGTGACATCACTGTTTATACTTAAAGCATTCATTGAGTCAGTGTTGGGTTCAACACTTTCTAATGTTGGTGAATTTGTACTTGACGTTGCTGGTCCATTTGTTACTGAAGTTGATTTATGAGTCTTTATTTTCTTTAATAATTCTATTCGCTGAAAAACGGCAACAAAAAGCAAACCAATTAGAAACAAATATTTGGCTGTAAACAGTTTGTTTCCAGTGTGCTTTTGACTYGTCATAAAAAATGCCTAAGTAAAAAGCTTATAAGTGGGAAAGAACGAAAACCCTGAAAATATATTATATCTTATCATATTCATGAGGAAGTCTGTAGGGACTTTTGTTTATTCTCCTTCCCTCAAACATTTTAGAAACACACGGCTAGGTTCCTGTCATGGTGGCACTTTTCTTGCAGATACTCCTACCGGGAATGCGCTTATAAACAAGCATCATTAACCAATCATATTGTGACATTTAGTTCGATTTTTTCTAAACAGCCATTCAGATAGCACATTAATATAATGAGAGTGTGATAATCTGATTGGTTGAATCTGTACTCAGTTTAATTTCTGTCTAGTTTACTGTTATCTGATTGGTCAGTTTTATTCAATTGTTCCCCGTTAGTGTGTCCACACAGTACAATACAATACAATACAATAGACTTTATTTTAAGAGGGTAGCACTTAACAGTTTAGGAATTAAACTGATGACCCTGTGGCCCTCTAAAGTAATGCCCTCCCAAATGATGGCAGTTACAGTCCCTGAGGCAGACTCTTAGTACTTCTTACCTTCTCTAGTAGCTTGATGTGGTCCTGTAATGAATCATTATGGTCAATTATGCTACTGAGTGAATCCATTAAGGATTCCCGCGGGTGAATATCATTGTCAAAACGATTATACATAGCTCTCCAAAACCTGCAAACAAAGCAATAAGTCAGTTCTATTAACAGCAGTGGGTATCTATACTACCTATATGAACTTAGTATCTCCTCGAATTTGCTCGAGGCAAGTACCTATGTCTTGATACCTAGATGCATTAATATCAAAAAACCTAGGGAAAAATTTGAAACRTTTTTATGGGAATTTGATTATTATTGTACTGGTCCTTTTATTAAGCTGCACCCTCAGGAGTTAGCATTTTGTCTACTTCATAAAGGTGTCCAAAGTATAGAGGTTCATTTACAATAAATAAGGGAAGAAAATTTTGGACATTGTCCATGGCAGTGGCCATTAATAAAGGATTGATGTCTACTTCATAGAGGAATCATTATATATTCATTATCCTACTTGATAGACTGTGGAGATGTGTCAGGCCATAGGATATCATCAGCTTCTCTGTAGAGTGGGTTAGCATAATCACTGATATTCTGCCACATRTAACCCCACAGTGAATATGTTCTCTTGGATAACCTGGAATAGAATAAACCACTAACAATAAGCAACTTTCCAGGGTCATAGGAACTATGAGTAAAGTTGGTTTTAGATAAGTCTTTCCCAACATGATCACTGGACAAGAGTGGTGTAGCAGTATTGCAGCCCTGGGTCATGTTTGAATAGAGTTTGATGGTTCTCTCCATTAAATTGAGGGTTTTTCACCTTTTTCTATGGTTTTCCTTCCTACGCAAAACCTAATAATATGCTAAATTCCAATTTGTTCTTTAAGTTAGTTGTATGTGCCCTGACTTTGATTAGCCCAGATGTTTCAGGGTATCAAAAATAAATAAATTTGACAGTGAGAACAACCAATAGCGCGTGGAACCAGCGTGGACTCCCTCAGGAACTCCTTTTTAGACATATTTTGAAATAATTAAAAATATTAATAGTGATACTTACTCCAATTCTTTTCTTTCTCTTTCACAATTTCCTAAAAATGTGCCAAACTGCAAAGAGGGAAAGCAGAAAATAAAACACATCATAAATTGCTCACCTTAAGGTATTAGGATACGTTTACGACCACTATGCGCGCAAACTTAAATAACGCGCTGGCTTTATAGTGTAACACAAACAAAGTATACATTTTCTGAAAGCTGAGTAAATATAGKTTATGAAGAAATTTTCAAAATACGATTTTTTWAATTGTGGTTCACGTTATTGTCCTCGAAGCGAAATTTGACCATGCCTCAGTGAAAACGTTAACGGACACGTACATTTTAAGCTATGTTTGCGAAAAATGGCTTAACATACTCAGGAGATAATAAGCTCAAAAAGGGTGTCCCAGATTTTTGATATCTGTTTTATATCTCTCGCTATTTTTGATCAAAGTTCGACGATTGCTTTTGGAGTGTTGTTTAGAGTAAAAAGYGTCATAACTTTGGAAAGAAATTAAATTTCAAAATTCGGAGACACCCTTTTTTGGATCATGAGTTACTTTATAAACTCTCCAAATTTTAGAAAAATCGAATGAAATCCAAGGGCCTTTTAGCTTTTCGAAGTTGAGGTTTTAGCRGCAAAAAAGATTCGAGAAAAACACATTTCTTTGTTTGGAGCCGGAAGCAGGGAGCCACGATGGTGTTGGCCAAAACACCTTGAGCTTCCATTTTGTCATCACTTGTCAAATTATATGGTGTTCTGGACGATCGCAATGTAGGATCTTTTTACAATGACAAAGGAGCATGACAGATGTGCATATATTAAGCAACGGTACATTTCCGGTCTTGATAAAGTCATGATTTCGATTTTTCTCAAAATTTTGGCTTTCCAATCAAAAATTGCAAGACGTTTCACAAACGTATGAARGATAAAAGTTTAAAATTACGAAATTAAAAACAAAATTTTTTTTCAAGCAATTCGTCATTTTTCGTATCCTAATACCTTAAAATGACAGTTTTTCACTGGCTCTGATTGGTAAAAATACCATTTTATATGTGARCATTTAAAAACAATTTGAACTTACAGGAAATATAACAGTATTTTTGGGTAATTTGTTATTTTAAGATGGAAATATGAGACAGTTTTAGATACAGTCAACCCTCGCCTTGCAGCCAGCCAAATATTACGGACTGAAGAAAAATCCCCGGCAGAAATATTGACAAAGAAATTACAGGCTAATTAATTCTTGCTATTGCTGACGCTTGCGTTTACAGACATGAAGTGACAGTCCCAAGGCTGTCTGGTGTAACGAGAGTTGACTGTGCTCTGATCAAAACACTTGGAATACTTAAAGAAAACTTGAGAAGCTGGAAACTACTCCATTACATGTTGTGGTTTCACAAAYATAACGCTTAGAATAAAACTTTCGAACATTCGAGAATTTTAATTATAACAAGTAATGTGAACCAAACCTGGCAAGAATGCACATGGTCATGCAGTGTCAGGAGAAACCTCTCATTAAATTGAAAACAGAAAGGAAACTGTTCAAGTAACTGCCAGATGCTTTCAAGGAACTGGAGAAAGACGGGAGAGAACTCCTTTTGGTCTGACTGAAGAAGACCACACCTAAATAAGAAAACGTAAAATTAAATTAAATTAATATGTGATTATTTCACAGGCCAAGAGAGTTCTAAATGTCCCTTTAATCTAATTCCCATTTTTAGTTTTTTTGTTTCGTTTACAATGTTACTGTCAAACTAAGAAAATCGTAAACACCTAAAATATGTCTGGAATGTTAAATATTGGGTTCTGACCAATCCCATGCGAGAATAGATTCATTTCTAATATCTGTCGCATGTGATTGGTCAGAACATGATGTTTCACATTGCAGACATATTTCAGGTGTTCACAAATTTCTTAGTTTGATTGTAAATGGGTGTGAAACATGAGGTCATTCATCACCTATCAGTAAACTTGTGTCCAAAGGATAGCCATTCCTTTTCAATGAGAACCTACAATGAACAATTCAGTTTAACATTAGAAATTAGTCATTTCTGTTGTCGCTGCTACTGCTGCTTGCTGATACTTATGTCATTGTTGCTGCTGCTGTTGCTTTTTCTGTTGTTGTTTTGTTGCTGCTGCTGTTGTTGTTGTTGTTGCTGTTGCTACTGCTGTTGTTGCTGCTGCTGCTGTTGTTGTGGCTGCTGCTATTTCTGTTGAACTTTACTGTCAGTTGCTGTTATTGTTGCTGTTGCTGTTGTTGTTGCTGCTTCTGTTGTCATTGCTGCTGTTGTTGTTGCTGCTGCTGCTGCTTCTGTTGTCATTGTTGCTGCTGTTGTTGCTGCTGTTGCTGCTGCTGCTGTTGCTGCTGCTGTTGTTGTTGAACTTTACTGTTGCTGTTATTGTTGCTGCTGCTGTGCTGTTATTGCTATTGTATTTTGACAACCCTTAGTAGAAGTAACTAGTATTGTATGTTTAAGTTCATCATACCTGAAAGCCGTGGATGGTCCTGTAGTATGGGTCCAATATGATACTAGCAAGAGAACATGTCTGAGCTGTTCTGTCCCATCCATCACTACAATGGACAAGAACACTAGCCTTCTCAAGTATGATAGCCTGAAGAATATTCAAGTATATAATGGCTTACTTTAAATAGAAAATATCCCCCCTTATTGAATGATTAAGTAGGAGAGCCAGAGTATGAACATTTTCAGCTATCCCTAATCTATTCGTTAATGTTATAGCACTGGGGCTGAGGTAGTGGGTTCATCAAGGGAAATTTTACATTTTGAGTGAGCCCACACTGGATTCTAATGAAAATCAAACCCCACCCTTAAACAATTTTAGAAATCCTCAAGATGATGCTTATGATGACAATCATGGAAACCTGATCATGTCATATTTCCTTGGAGTAGAAGTGCAGATTGATTAGAGTTAAAATCCCAAACCATTTAGTAGTAGTCCTCAATGTTATGTATCTTAGGAAAGTAACCCCCCCTCACCCTGGGGATTTAACATTGTTATTATAGTGACATAAAAGTGTATAAACCAGATCACTAACCTTGGCAATAAACACAGAAGTATCCATAACTGATTTGATGTGTTTCAGCCAGTTACTAGCCTCCAAACCATTGATAAATGCACCAAATGATAACTTGGGGCTGTCATTTACAACTAAAAAAATAATACTATTTCATGTACCCCATTGAACCTTTCTCTTTTAATAATATATTGTAAATTACAAAATTTTTAACTTTGGCGCAAAATAAACTATTGATATGATGTTGATTCCATGGTTTGATCCTTAGGATCTCCACGTCTGTTTCGACTTCTCTCTAATCCGTGTAGCTTCAGCTTTAAATACTCTTAAAACAGAGCACTGATGGAGAGAGGGGGTAAAGTGTGCACCGTCGGCTTCCATTGATAGCAGTTGAATTTCAACTGAAGGAACTACCGACGTTAAATATAGGTACTTTACTATTTTTTTACTTTACATGCTTGGAACTTCCTATCGTATTTTAATTTTATAAGAAAATATTTCACGAACGTTGTCCTTTACCTTCAAGCATCTTGTACAATGATTGTCTCATCACGTGTATATTTTCAATGCCCACAAACTGGAACTTGACATTGTCGTAAAAGTCTTCACTTTCGTATCCTTTCCCTGCTGCTCTGTTTGCCATGGCATTGATCTGAATCAACAATATTTGATGTTAACACTAATCTTATAATCCAAGTAGTTGGGCTTCTGTGTATACCACAGGTAACCCAAACCTATATTTCATAAGATAACAAATTTGTTGACTCACTTTTGGTCTGGTGTCAACTATGTAAAGGAATTTAGACTCAGGATTAGATTTTAATATAGCTTGAATCATGCTTTCATCCTCGGGGCAGCGTCCCTTGAAGCCTCCTAAGGGTTGACTACATCGGCAGATGGCAGCCTTGGTGCTCTTGTGATAGAACGACAAGACAGGCAGCCTTCCTCTGCTACGGAACTTAGAACTGCCATAAATAGTTTCTTCTGTTGCAGACGTGGGGACAAACAAAGTATTTGGGTATGTGTCGCATAACTGAAAAGATAAAAGCATTATTGGCATATGAACTTAAAGCAACCATACTTATTTCTATTTCTAGTTTCTATAGTAAGAGGTGAATAGGAGTAGCACTAACCCACCCCCTCCAATCCCGTTCAAAACCARTGCCAAGCCATGTCGAGTCAATCACAAAACCTAGACTGCACAAAATAGCAATTTGTAATACCCATTGTCATTTTCTTGTGGGAAAAAAAAGATATGTTGATAGGCTATTGTTTTCTGCTACTTTCTGATTGGCTGCACTACCCAAAGTTAGAATGTATTGTTTTCATTCTACAATTTGATTGTTTTTGCTGTCTAAGTGTCCTCGGTTATAGTAGTCTCACTGTAAAATATCCCACAATGGCTGAATACTGTGCTGTACCTTATAATCATTGTTCATTGATGTTGAAGTCCATAAGTCTGATGGCAGACCCATCCTAGCATATTCAGACTTGATATCGAATAAGGCCCATCCTGCTGTTTTGGTTAGTTTTTCTGTCTGAGGGGAGTAGGTAAAGGCATACAGGTCTTCTATTTTCTCTGCAAAAAAATGGTGTCAGAGTGTTCATCACAGCCGGCTTTTCATACAAAAAGACCCGGCCCTTTGCACTTGAGGGATTTTGCCTATCATTTTCGAAACTCAGAGAGGGTAATAATTGCATTAATTAATATAATATTTGGGGGGGGGGAATATAAAATATATATAATATTATGATTTTTGGGGCAAAAAAATGTATCAAAGGCTGGATACTATGACTGGCCATATCAAACCGATCAACATGTGACCAGGTAAATCTTATCCTTACCACAAATTGTTATCACTTATATATACCTGGATTAGAAAAGTGCAATAGCGCAGAATATACGTCATGACACTCTTTTTCCTTTGGAACAACAATAGTTACATCCTGGAATGTCTTGCAGCGAATTCTAAGTGGAGCTCCTGAGGTGTTTAGGGGTAGTTTTTCTATATTTGAAATGTGAGAATGAAGAATCTGAAAGAAAAAGAAAGCATTTTGTTAGGTTGACAGCATACTATATTTTCTGAAATAAAATCAAGGCACTTAACCCACGAAATAAAAAATACTGGTAAATGCGTAATAATCAAATAGACACAAAAAGAAAAAAATGGAATTTGAGTCTACTATAGTGTATTATTCGATTGCATGTTAAGTCACTGTGGCCTCTCTGAGGAACATTGTTTGCCATTTAACAAAAGATCTCTCATTAGCATCCATCGTTTTTGTGTTTTGACTTTCTTGGGAATGCTTGCAACCTATCAATTAGTCTATCGGACACTCTATCTATCTGTTGATATAGCAAGGTTGATGTTAGAGCCTCATCATTCTCTCTAGGTAGTTTCACATAAGAAAAAATAAATCGCTTTTATTTAAGTGTCTAGTCGTTCTAGCGCTTTCGCACTAATTGGGGACACTTTTCGCTCACTCGCACTACCACTACATTAAATATTCTATGCACACAACACTCAACTCACATGTTGATTTTTACGGAACTCATTGGATCGCATTTCCCTGGGGAGTTCCCTACACAAGGCCAAGATATACCCACCTAAGAGCCTCCCAATCCCTTAGAAATTCTAATAGCCCACCTATAGAGCTACAAGTTATACTCTCCAAAGACGTCTCCCCACTGAGAATTCCAATCCTTATCCATGGGGGAAGTATGGATGGATAACTTCTGGAACTACACAATATAACAGGCTCCTCTAACCCTCTTCTTACCCCTTGGATATTCTAATCACCCTCCATGGGCAGACTGTATGCATATTTCCTAGTATGACACCAAATTAATTCTAAGTTATGAATACAATATAAGGAAGTGCTTTCATAATGATCATCAGCCTTATGAAAGTAAGAACGTCCACGATTCACATGTAATATGACCATAAAAATATGCAGAAAATATYATTGTTCACTAAGAGATTATTTTTACCCATGTCTCTTTAACACCATCAGGATCCACGAAGATTAAGTGAGTGGTGGTCACATAGAGACTTCCTCTTGCTTTCTTGCCCAGGTTAGATTTTAAACTCACTCCATGAACCTGTAATAGAGTCATGGGAAACTTGAGATCAGAACAAGTACAAGCGAAACCACGACACTTAGGATTATACATCTCGTTACAAAAAATATTTTCCTTTTTGAGAATACAACGAGAAACGTCAGGAAACATTTACTTGTAGTTCATGTATTACTGAAAATTTAAATGTGTTAAACGAGGGGATTTTCTAAAGTTAATGCTGTGGAATGTAAGTTAATAATTGAAAAATCTTGCAGTTTATGAAATCGCCAAGTTCACACGTCCGTGAATAATTTAATTCTCAGTGAATTGCTCCAATTTTCAACACCCTACCTGCGTGGTCTGTATTATATCCATCCTACTTGGTTTTAGGAATGTGAGAGGAAGGAAAGGGCTGGTTTATCTTCGTTTTTTAACTCCATTCATCCAGACATTTTATTGYGACTCAACGCCATCTTGGGCTTCCTGTAGTAACGCCTGCAAAGGTTTGTGGTATATTTTCATTCTTCAACCCTGCGAAGCCTGAGAACTAATGTTAATTTAACACGAGAATTGATTGGTTAATCGAAAATTTGTCCAATCAAAATCCCTGTTAGAAATGATCGAGGCGAAGGACACTTTTTTGAAGCAAAATGGCGGCCGCAGTGTTCGGTAAAACTGGTGCCACTTCAGGCTTTAGTTTCGGTGGTGTTGCAGCTACTCCACAGAGAAGTACTGCCACAAGTACTAGCGGTCTCTTTGGTGGTACTCTAGGAGCGTCAACTCCAGTGGGTTCCATCAGTTTTGGTACAACTACGACCGCTTCTGGCGGGCTGTCTTTAGGTGGTTTATCAGCCGCAAAGCCAACGACGTTCTCGGGGTTTGGACAGCCTGCAGCCTCTACAGCTGCTTCGACTGGTGGTTTTGGCTTTGGACAGTCTTCTGCAATATCTGCTGCTCCTACTTCTAATGTTTTATCATTAAGTGGGTTACAAACTGTTAACCCGGGGACTAGTTTGTTTAGCTCATCTCAACCCAAGACAACTGGCGGCTTTTCTTTACTTGGGACAACGACGAGTACCAGTGCACCGAGTAAAGGTCTAGGTGCTTTTGGATCTACTAATACCACTAGTACTACAGGAGGGCTATTTGGTAACCTTGCTTCAGCAAATGCTCCAAAGTCTACTGCTGGGCTGGTATCGACTGGTGTTACTGGACTTGGGGGAACTGGAACAAGCTCTACTGTGTCACTGTCTGGAACTGCAACTGGAATAGCTGGAAAACAGAGGTTTGTAACGGACCTTTGTGACTGTAACYCTCTTCTCCCCTCTCCCGTCTCCACTCTCCACCCTCCCCTCCCCCATAAAAGGTAGCTTGTCTAGATTATCAGGCCTATTTTAGACAAAGCCCTAATGATCAGAGAAGTTGTTTTTTAAAAAATAGGCCATTTGCATGGTGATGGCATTTTACTACTACTACCAGAATTCTTTGCATATTGTGTTATTTATATCTTGTCTCCCTACCATAAACTCTGATAGTAGTACATACAGTTTAAGAATATTAAGACAATAGGTGCTAATGAACAGAACAAAGGAATGTGTGCAAAGGATATCAGACAACTGCTTGTAGCCCCACTACCATAAGAAACTTTGTTAGTAGTACAGTTACATGTAGCTAACAGATTGGACTTTTTTTGGCCAAACAATAATAGTGCTAATCAAAAATCGTAGTTTTGATATTCAACATGGTGCTTAACAACCATTGGTTATTATTTGCAGTGAAATACAGAATCTTAAAGATAATCAAGTCCCTGAACCACTTGTCAAGATAGTTGAGGAAATCAAGTAAGTGCCACTTCTGTCAATCATGAAGGTATTTTGTTTTGTCTAGTGAAGTAAGATACAAAGCCAAATTAGGTAAAATTATCTATATTACAACCAAAGCTAGAACAGAATGAACCATGAAAAAGAACAGAATGAACCATGAAATTCTTTCTCATTGCTTTTAATAATTTTTCTCAAAAAATGTACAACTTGTAAACTATTTCTACATAAGTACTGCTAGTAAGACAAAAAGTTATGAAAAAGACCCTGGTCTGCTGTCATTGCTGATGACTAGGTTGCCAACTATTGGCACTTTGTTTCATGCATTTTTGTTGCTTTTCTTCACTTTAGAAAATATGTTAAACAACAAAAAGAACACAGGGATGAGATATCTAGATTTTCTGCAAGTAGTATTCAAAAAGTGCAGGAAGAAACCATGTCCTTAAGACAGGTAAGTACTTATGTCAGGGCATGACTTTCAAGTTTGTTGGGTTTGCATTCTGTATATTATTGAGAAAAGTACCCTTTTTTTCTCTTTTTTTTTCTTTCTTTTTTTCTTTCTTTTTTTTTTTCTTTTCTTTTTTTTCTTTTTATTATTATTTAATTTTAATTTTAATTAATTAATTTTTTTAAAACTACCCATTGCTCGGGTGGACACTCAAGCATAGCCGGGATTGGTCTGTTGTAAAGCTGCCACACGGCAAATCAGTACCAGAGGTAGTCATAGTACTATGAATATTTGCTTCCTCTAAATATTATGAACACCCTCAGACCCAGATATATTATCATAGATAATTAAATAATTGTCATTTCTTTGGTAGTCACTGGCTGTAGTATCTAATAGCATACAGAGGGATGCATGTGCYGTAGAAAACCTTAAAATGGATGTTGCTCAGGTATGTTACTGTGATCCAAACATAAACATGCTGGGTGTTACTAAAATAATTTATGCAAGTGTTTTCTGAATATGATGTTAAAAAGTCATGTATTGTGTTGCTTTTTTAGGAGCTGAAGAATGCAGAGATAGCTCAACACACAAGTGAAATTCCTCCAGCATTACAGCATGAAAACACAGCACCACAGGAATACTTTCAGAGGCTTGTAGAAAGCTTTGAAGAACGTATGCAGGTCTATAGAAAACAAATTGAGATCATGGAAAGTCACTTGGCAACCCTTTCACAAGGGCAAACACTCACTCCTCAAGGTATTGGTAATTTAATGATATATAATGATGATACTTAATGATAATAATACATGAT